GTCCCCAGTGCACAAAGCTGGGCCTGGGGCAGCAACTCCCTCTGCTCAGCAGGGCTCCTGGGGCTCAGGCTGTCAGTCAGTCCATCAATCCCCGAACGAACGAACGAACGAGCATTTTCAGATGCCCAGGGTGAGGCGCCTTCAGAGCAAAGCCAGAGGAGCCTTGATCCCTGTGTTTCTACAAAGGTCAGGAGAGTGGCAGCTGGGTCCGGCGGCTCAGGGTTTAAGCAAATTGCTGAGCCAATTCCTACCAAAGGGAGGCCCGAGTGCTTGCAGTGCTGAGAGGCTTGACGCTTCCAGAAATGCCTTCGCTATTTTTACTTTCCTTACCTAACCCCCGGGAGGGACTCAAGCCCTAACCGCCAAGATTTTCTGCCTGGCTTCTTCCTTCACTGTTATGTCGGGATAGAAGGCAGCCACGTTAATCAGCTGCAGGTGCCTCGTTGCTGCCACCTGACCATCCCCCCAGCCAGGCACCCACCACGGCTCACCCCGAAGGCCCAGCCAGGGTGAAGCAGGTCCTCTGGGCCGCCAGCAGTGGGAGGTGGGGATGCGCCCGCCACCCTCCACCCCTTCCTCGTCTCACCTTGGCATTCAAACTTCTTGGCAGGAGTGGTGAGGAGCAGCTTGCCCTCCATGTCTGGGGGCCCAGCGCAGCGGGCAATGCCTGGTTCCTTGTAGCCTGTCTTCACCCAGCTGGACAGCCAGCGGAGGTGGCAGTCACAGTGCAGGGGGTTGGCACCAATGGCCCTGGGTCAGAGAGAGGAGAGAAACGCATTACAGCTTCATGGGGTCCTTCGTCCCTGGGCACCTAGGGTGCAGGGCACTCCACCAGGGGCTGGCAAAAGCCCTACTTTCACCATCATGTACTGTGTCACCAGTTTCAAGTCCTCCACGTGTGTTAAATGTTGAAACTGAGGCTCAAAAAGGTGGAGGCCCCTGCCTAAGGCTGCACAGAGAAAGGGGGGAGGTGGGATTTGAACTCAGCTGTCGAGGTCAGAGCCTGTGAATGCATTGCCTCCGGGTGCACGAGGGAGGAAGGAGCCAACACCTACCACTGCAGTGAGATCCAGCTGCTCTTCCCACGGCACTGCCTCTAACCCTCTCTCTGGCCCCACTGTGCGGGCTTTTCTCCGTCTCCCAGATGTGGGAACTGAGCCTCATGTGGTCACACAGCTCTCGAAGGGCCGCCCCTGGGTCCAGACCCAGACTGTCTGACTCTGAAGCTCATACTCTTTAATTTTTCTTTTCATTTTTAACCAAATAAGGAGCTCACGAATGCACCCCCATTGTAAACCTCTTTCAGACATTGCAGACCACAGTCTCGGCCTCACACAACATTGTGAAGGCGCCAAATGCCACTGAATTGTACACAGTAAAATGGTGAATTTACGTTACATGAATTTTACTGGATTTTTTTTAAAGGCACATACCGACGTCACGGATGGAGTGCAAAATGGAGTAACACTGACGAGAGGAATTCTGTGAGTATCTGTCAGTTACCAGCGCAGCTGCCTTTCAGTGCAAAATGGAGTAACACTGACGAGAGGAATTCTGTATCTGTCAGTTACCAGCGCAGCTGCCTTTTGACCCGGCAATTCTGTTCCTGGGAGTTTACCTCCCAGATTTACCTGCACGAGGGCGTACAGACGTCTGTGCCATGGTGCCGGCCGCAGCACTGTTTGTAATAGGAAGACTGTTCATCGTGTGCTTAAATAAACCTGCATCCACGTTACAAGACAGTCTAGTCCACGGTCCCTGCCAACCGCAGGAGGACACTGGTCACCACGCTGCAGCGTGTAGCTTTCCGGCCCGTCCCCCTATTCACACACATCCCATCACAGGTTACAACCACCGCTCGACGCCTTCCTGAGCAGCTTGCTCCTTGCCACTGAGCAGCACGTCCTGGAGATCCTTCCCGGTCGGCGTAGATGAATCCATCCCGTTTGCCAAACCGCTTCACAGCATCCCAAAGACTGGAGCCTCCGGGCTGCCTGAGCCGTGCCCCTGTGCCATGATGCCCCTGGCCGTCCCCGCCGGCCGTCAGCACCCCAGTACATGCCTCTTGGGGAAGTGAACCTTTCTCTAGATCAGACGCCTAGGAGGAGGGTTCAGGTTGCAGAGGAAGTGCATGTAAAATAAAATAAAATGAACAGCTGCCCTCCAAAACAGGTCGTGCGGACTTACAGACACCAGCACTGTAAAGCCACGCCTGCCCCTCACGTCCCCGCCCCAACGCTGTAGCTGGCCAACCTCTTAATGTTCTGACAAGCTGGTGGGCAAGCTCATACTCTTCTCCCTGGACCACAGTGAGACGAAGAGATGAGCACGTTGGGAACATGCAGGGACCTGAGGCCTTTGATCCGGCAAATAGAAAAACATCAGCGCTCCGTGCCCGACGTTCGTTGATATCAGCGTGGTTTTGAAAATCTGAGGCTGCATAAGGTTGATGAGAATGAGCACCTATTACCTAACCAACAGGAAGGCCCTGCCATTTTCCACCTGTTTCTGGGCGATACAGAAGAGGTGGCTCCCCCTGAGATGTGTGTGGTCTGACGAAAGCAGCAGCGACTCTGAGCAGGAATTCCCCAAAATAGCACATCTGCTGACTGTGCGTCTTAAAAAGCGGGCTGAGCCAGGTGTGGACTCCGGCCGGAGCAGCTGCTCGCTGCCCGGCGACCTTCAGGGCTGGCTTTACATCTCTGGGGCTCACTTTATGATTCGATAAAGAGCCTGCAGTCTGGAGAGGGGAAAAGACAAGCACACAGAACCTGCGATGGGCGCCGAGGGAGTGACGCAGCTTGGAAATGAAAGTCAGTTCAACCTCGACGAGCATTTAATTCTTTTCTGTCCCGCTTTGCTGACAGCATCCATCCTGACTAATGGGACAGGAGGCACGTTCCTCTTTCCGCTGAACAGAGCTGGGGCTCCTCAGAGGGAGAGGGAGCTCCCACACTGAGTTCTGAAGGTCCAGTGTGTTTTAAAAAAATACTTTTTTAAATAACAGGAGTGCAAAAATCACGGTATACTGAAGAGGTTTGCATTTACCACATTAATGTTTAACATAACAAGTGCAAAGAAGTGTAATTATGTTATTCCTAAGATACATTTATTTTAAACTATGTTTTGTAGCACGCTGTGGGAGTATGGTCTGGTAATGAGCCACGAGTTTCAAAGTTATTAGGAATGGCTTCTTCTTTCAGTCCCATAGCTCATTTACAGAAATTGCCAAAAAGACTGAATCTGAGGCCCTTGACCTGTGGTAGGATCATCCTAATTCCCACAGATGTTCCCCGCCCCCCCAATAATGGCAGCAAACTTGCACCTCAAATATGTGCCCCTTTTTGACTGTTAATATAAAAATAATAATAAATAATAGTCAAGCCCAGCTGGTGTGGCTCAGTGGTTGACATATGATCCAGAAGGTCACTGTTTGATTCCCAGTGAGGGCACATGTCCGGGTTGCGGGGTCCATCCCCAGTGGGGGGCGTGCAGGAGGTAGCTGATCAATGATTCTCATCATTGATGTTTCTATCTATCCATCTCCCTTCCTCTCTGAGATCAATAAAAATATACTTATCCTATCTAATAAAGAGGGAATATGCTAATTTACCCTCATGCTGTCACAAAGATGGTGGCACCACAGCCACAAGATGGCCGGCAGGGGAGGGCAGTTGAGGGTGATCAGGCCAGCAGGGGAGGGCAGTTGGGGGTGACCAGGCCTGCAGGGGAGGGCAGTTGGGGGTGACCAGGCCTGCAGGGGAGGGCAGTTAGGGGCCAATCGGGCCAGCAGGGGAGGGCAGTTGGGGGCAATCGGGCTGGCAGGGGAGCAGTTAGGCATCAATGAGGCTGGCCGGGGAGTGGTTAGGGGGTGATCAGACTGGCAGGCAGAAGCGGTTAGGGGCAATCAGGCAGGCAGGCAGGCGAGCAGTTGGGAGCCAGCAGTCCCGGATTGTGAGAGGGATGTCCCAGACTGGAGAGGGTGCAGGCTGGGCTGAGGGACACACACACCAGTGCATGAGTTTCATGCACCGGGCCTCTAGTATATATATAAAGAATAACAGTCAATATAAAGCTATTCAAAACTCTAAATTCTGGCTTGACCAATTCCTGTTTTCCTTGTCTCTGCATGGAGCAGACTCCAAGCCACACATGAATTCAATATCTCAAGCTTTAATTTATCCGACGGCCGGGTTCCTGTGGCTAATTCGGTACTAGCAGTAGTTCACTTTCACCTGGGGATGGTTTTTCCCAACAAAAACTGCTGTGAACTCAGTGGGGAGTGGAGAGCCACAGGCCCAGCAGAGACGCAACGGTGTGGATGGCAGCCAGGCCGCTCGTCCGTCCACAAGGACCGTGAAGTCCATCTCCAGTAACCGTATAAAGAACCCTGTGCTGTTGATCTTTGGCGTAACTTGGAAATAGTTGAAACAGTAGATATTAGGTATGTTCACGCCAAGACCTTGCTGGACTTCTGTTCACGTAACTGGGACCAAAATAGCTTCCCTGTGGCGGTCTCACAGAGGCGCCAGCTGCAGGGCTCAGCGCTCCAGGACCTCCTTCTCCTGAGCCCATCCCCGCCCAGGCAGTGTATGTGTGTGCATCACCATCTCCTTCTACGGGACCAGGAGGGCAGGAACCAGACATCCCCGCTGCGCCTGACACCAGCAGGCGTCGTAAACATTTGCTGAGTGAATGCCTGCCTACAAGCATGACAGCAAATTCAAAAGGAAAAGAATCATCTATTGTCCCTTAAATGTAACTAATTTAATGTTCATATATTCCCCCCCTTCCAGTTCCTGTGTTTATATATGTATATCTTTGAAATTAGAGGGGGACCATCTTCTTTATTCTATATTTTCATCAAATACTAAATCACAGTGTCATAATTATCATTAGCTACTCGCCATTCTGTCATACGGGCATTGTTTAATCATTCCCTTTACTTTTCATACCAAATTCTCAATGAATTCAGAAATTTAACTTTCCAGCGTGTAGCAGGTTAGAGGCAACAAAATGCCAGATTATGGAAATGAAGAACGTTGTTGGGGAACCTGGCACAGGACCGGACGCATAGTAAGTATTTGCTGATGGGCGGATGGACAGACAAGTGGACGAAAGATGAGCTAACTGCAAAGTAACTATAAAAATAAACAGAGCAGGGAGACGTGCAGGATATTAAAGCCCAGAGCAGTGGCATGTTAGAACCACCGTGGACGTTAGAAATACCTCTGTGCGGGCGAGGAAAAAGGCCTGAAGAGAAGGATGAAGTGTCTGAGATCCTACTGCAAGTTGATGGCAGAACAAGGACCTAATGCCACACGTCCTGACTCTTAACCTGGAGTTCAAGGGGTTTAAATATGGCGGACCCGGTCCTCCACCAGCCCCTTGGCCCACCCACGCCTCCTGCACTGGGGGTGCAGAGGAGAGGCCCACGTGCAGAACAGGGTCCTGGCGGGAACAGAGGGCACCTCCGGGAAACAGGAACACTGATGCTAACTCTTGGGCACGCCTGGCACTGTGGAGCCATAAGCATGTTCCCCTTCGGACTGCACGCGGCCTTTGTGAGGCCCAGAGTGAGTGCGGTGAGTCTGTGCCATCCTTGTGCCACTCCCTGACCCCTTGTAAGCGCTCCATAAATCCTTATGGAATAGCTGCCACTTCCACACAGAGGAGACAGTGGACACCTGTGTGCACTTACACAGACATCCCATCAGTACTGCATGTGCACACACCTGAACAGGCTAATGCCTAGTTCCTTTTGAAACCCTGGGCACTTACACAGACATCCCATCAGTACTGCATGTGCACATACCTGAACACAAGCACGTGCGCATTTCCCAGGCTAATGCCTAGTTCCATTTGAAACCCTGGTTGTAAAGGGCAGAGTTTATTCATGAGGTTGCTTCATAACAATGGGAGATTTCCTTCACATAAACACACCTAATCAGTAATGCCAATTCGCTGTTCTACAATTACTGCTTAATTGATCTTTACTTATTGGTTTCTTTAAAAAAAATAGTTTATTGATTTTTTTTGAGAGAGAGAGAGAGACAGAGAGAGAAAATATCGATGTAAGAGTGAAACACCATTCGGCTGCCTCCTGTACCCACCCCACCGGGGATTAAGCCCACAACCGAGGTATGTGCCCTTGACCGGGAATCCAACCAGTAACCTCTTGGTAGATGGAATGACACCCAACCAACTGAGCCACACCAGCCAGAGCTGGTTTATTTATTGCTAACTGGGTCTTGCCTAATGTTCTCCTAAAGAAAATCTAATTTACAGATAGGTATGAGCTCAAATTTTGTTTTAGAAGCTTTGGGGTTTTGTTTGTTGTTTGTTCACTTCCCATTTGAAGAACAAAGCCTCTAGATTTTGAGCTGGAAACAAGGTTAGAACATATTTAGGCATCATTCATTTTTCATGGGGAAAGAGGAAAGGTCGTTAACTTTACTTTTAAACCCCAGAATAAAAGATACACAAAAGGGGGAATCCGCAGGCATTTCAGAAGGTGGACCAGATGATTGACAAGCTCTTGCCTGGCAAGGAGGAGAACTGAAGCAGACACTTGCCATGGGCCAGGGGTAAGCAAAGGAGGCTGTGTGGGCCCAGAGCAGCAGCAGACCCTGGTGCCCAGCAGAGACGAGCACAGGTTCCCTCTGGGGAGAGGCATCTCCAAAAGATGAGCTCACAACCAAAATTTACCGAACAGAAGTGGAAACAAGCCCCTGTGAATGGGAGACATCAAGGGCAATGAACAGCAATGTCCTGGCCTGGCCGCTGGAGCCATCTCCAGCCAGGATCCCTCCTGCCACATCCATCCGAACCGGCCTCCACAGGCCACCATGGCCTTCCAGGATTTCCTACAACTTAATTCTTCCACCGTTCCCTTCTGCCTATAGAATAAAGTCCAAACCCCTTAGCATGGCACAGAGACCTTCCCAATGGAATCCCAATGTCCCTTTCTAGATTCGTCCCTTCCCGCTCCACACTCCTCACCCAATCAAACCCCCTACATCCTATGCTGGACAACACAGCATCCCTGAATATGTCATTGACTTTCTTGCCTTCATGCCTTTGCACATGCTGTTCCCTCTTTCTGGAATGTCCTTCCCCATCTTCTCCAAATGGCAACTTCCTAGTCCCTTTCCAATGGCAACATAGGTGGCACCTCCTCTGTGAAGCTCCTCAGAGTTCCCCGGAGTTAGTCACTGCCGCCTTTGAATTAATTTAATAGCATCGTAGATGGTCACGGAGGGCAGAGACCTTACGAAAATTCTTTAGCACGTGACTCACTGTGGTTACTCACGACATAGTTATTGAAGCAATTAAGAATAAATAAGGAGCTCTGGAATCAGACACACCTACGTTCAAATTCTGTCTCTGTCATTTCCTAGCTTTATGACCAAGGGCCTCTGTTGAACTTTTCAGGGCCTGGGACTGTGAAATGGAAACAACAAATCCCACCCACTAGGACAGAACCTGTCACCCATTCTACTCCCGTGCAGACATCCATAATCAATCACTGCACTCTTCCCACTGAGCCCAGAGGTGCTGGCATCCTGTGTGGGCCCAAGAAGGTCCCCGTCAACATTTGTACAGCTGACGCAGAGCAGAAAGCCTACTTCTCATTCTGGTCATGAAGTAAACAACATACCACAGATAAAGTAGTCACACGTAGCAAAGTGTTTGTCCCAAGGACACCCTCATTGAATGACACTGTTATTATTTTACTTCCTCAAGTCTAAGGTTGTAGATGTACTGATTGGGCAGGGTGGGGAAATATTACCGTATTAAATACAGAGGTCACTTGTAAGGTACACTCTGATTTCAGAGATTAAACTCTGGACAAGGCAAGTCTTAGAACTGAGAAAATCCAGGGAGGTTGTTGAGTGAATGAACTCAAGTAGAGATGCTGGGGACCCCAGGCTCCCGAGGCCCTGGGTACTTGGGTGTAGGGCGGAGAGCAAGAGGGTGCAGTGACACCCAGGGTCCCAGCCGCAATCCATCTGGCCTGAACGCTGCCTTGTCAGACTGTAGCTGAGACTCCAGGAGAGAATGCTCTGCGCCTGGCCTCACCGCCAGAATTAGCTACTGCTTTTTCATGTCTTCACTTTTTTTATTGTGGTGAAATACATTTAACATGAATTTGCCGTTTGAAGCCCTGGCCGGGTAGTTGGTTAGAGCATCATCCTGATATGCCAAGGTTACAGGTTCGATCCCGTCAGGGCACATACAAGAATCAACCAATGAATGCATAAATCAGTGGAACAACAAATTGATATTTCTCTCTCTATCTCTCCCCTCTTCCCCTTCCCCTCTCTCTCTAGTAAAAAAAAAAAAATTGCCATTTGGATAATTTTAAGTGTGCAATTCAGTGGCATCAGTTACATTCACAATGTTATGCAACTATCACCACTATCTGGTTCCAAAATTGTTTCATCACCCCAAGCAGAAACTCTGTACCCATTAAACAAAATTTCCCCGTTCCCCCTGCTCCCAGCACCTGGCAACCACCATTCTCCTTTCTGTAGCTATGAATGGACTATCCTGGGTATTCAGATCAGTGGGGCCATGCAACATTTGTCCTCTTATGTCTGCGTTATTTCACTTCGCTTGTCTTCAAGGTTCCATCCATTTTGTAACAACATATGTCACCCTTCCTTTTTATGGCTGAATACAGTACTATCCTATTGTACGTATATACCACCTTTTGTTTATCCGTTTATCTGCTGATGGACACTTGGGTTGTTTTTGCCTTTTGGCAGTTGTGTGAATGTTGCTGCTATGAGCCTGGGTGCACAAGTATCTGAGTTCCTGCTGTCCATTCTCTTAGGTACATACTTAGGAATGGAATTGTGGGATCACACGGTAATTCTACGTTTAGCCTTTTGAGGAACGGTGAGTGCACTGCTCTTTAAGAATAGCTCATGCAGGTAAAGTGCTTGGCAACCAGCAAATGGTCACTATTACTTGCATTGATGCTTGTGAAGAACTGTTCGTAGATTCCATCGTTGCGACGGATGAAACCCTGACTGTGTCAGAGTCTGCGATGGGGAGCGTTTGAAGTTCACAAGCTAACTTGGTTTCAGGGTGAAAGCAACACATTCTGATAGTCTCAGGAGGCAGGGACTTTCTTGGAATCCAAATTCTGTTTAAATCCAAAGAGGCCCCCAGACCGGGGCCGGAGTTACTTACAGGTGGGACAGGGCGGTCACGTCTGCGAAGATGCCCTCTGGGAGGGTGGAGATGTCGTTGCCATGCAGGGACCTGAGGAGAGAAGAGGCTGTGTGTGCCTCACGGGGAGACAGAGCCTGCAGAACGGATGGAGGGTGGTGCCACCTTCTGCAGAGAGGGGCCTGGTGCTGTGAGGGAGACGGCCCCACCTCAGAGATGAGCCTACCCTGCTGGCCACAGGCAGCGGAGAGGGACCCTAATCTCCTCGCAGACCACCCCGCCCCTCAGCCCTCCTGGGGGACTCTCTTTTTCCATCATAAATAACTCGGCGCCATTTCTGTTTACGTAGCAAATGGAATGCATGCAGCCAGGAGCCTGAGGGGTAGGCTTTTTCTGGGTAAGGCAGTTAGTCCACAAGCCATACATTGGGGTGAACAATGTCACCTTGCCCCAGATGGGGCTGCCAGAGGATTCGTGTGCGTGGACGCAGGAGGGGCCATCATAACAGGCGTGACAGGGGCTTTGATCACAGGGCAAAACCTCGCAGTGGGAATTCTTAGAAAAGGTTCATGAATTTTACAACACTCTCCATCTGAACAGGAGACGTGTTCAAATAAGAGGTTGCCTTGTCTTGGATGCCCCCCTTCCCCCCCCCACACACACACAGAGACACACACACAGACACACGCTGCAAACACAACGTGGGGCAGACAGCAGCCCCATTTCTCAGCTACTTTCCCATTCATTCCTCGGACTCCTTCAGGGCTTAATGAGCGTGGACTGGCCCCCCACCTTTGGACACAGTTGGCCCTGCTGGGGCCCCAGACCTTGGGACATTGCTCCCCACTGGGTGGGGGCCGGGCCCTCAGCGGGGAGATTTCCCTGGAGGAATGAAGCGGGAGACTTACAGCAGACGCAGGGAGCGCAGCCCCTGGAAGGCCAGCGGAGGGATGCACTGGAGGGCGTTGTAGCTGAGGATCCTGAGGGAAGGGAGGGAGGGAGGGAGAAAGAGGGGGTCAAAGAAAAAGAATTGGTGTTCGCCTGGGCTGCGGGGCTGGGAGGGGCGGGAGGATTATCAGGGGCCACGAGGAGACTTCTGGGGGTGACAGAAGTGGTCACAATCTTGATTGTGGCGGTGGCTCCATGGGTGTGAGTGTAAGTCAAAATGCATCAAATGATACAATGAAGTATGTGCAGGTTTCTGTATATTAATTGTGCCTCAATGAAGCTGTTTTCCAAATAATAGAGGAGGGAGCCGCTCCTATCCCAGGAGAGGGCTGTTTCCCCGGCAGCAGCAGGTCACTCGGACCGGCACTGCTCAGCCTCAGCACTGTGGACAGTTCTTTGTTTGGGGGCTGTCCTGGGCATGGTGGGATGCACCCCTGGCCTCTGCCCATGCGATGCCAGGAGCTCCCCCTGCCTTCCTCCAGCTGTGACATCGAAATGTTTCAGGCACTGCCAAATGTCCCTGGAGGGCAGAGTCGGCCCTGGTAGAGACCCCTAGACCATGGCAGCTTCACACACAGGCTCGTGAAGACTCTGAACAGGGCACATGATCAGTAAGCAGACCCTGGGGCAGGTGAGTGTGGTGGGGGAACCTGCACGTCGAGGCCTCGGTCCCTATTCTGCTCCGCAGCCTGGCTGGCTCAGGACCCCATCCTGGCTCTCCTGTGTGGCCGCAGGAGCACCGAAGGGAAAGTTCAGAAGTTTGGGCACATTATCGGCAAACTGAGATACACTCTTAAGCCCCAGACAAATATAAGGGATGCTTGTTACCGCTTTCTTGGAATAAAATTAAAACAATCATTATATTATGGGCACAAACATGTTCAGAGGGTCACTGTTCACAACAGTACAAACTGGAAACAACCCAAATAGCCATCGACAGTGGAATGGGTGAGGGAAGCATGGCATTTTCCTACGAGGAATCCTATACAGCAGTGAAAATGAGCAGACCACAGCTTCACACAACACAAGTGGGTCTCACAAACATCATGGTAAGTAAAAGTATATATTCTGTAGGTTGCAATTTATATAAGGTTAAACGTGGGCAAAATTAAAGCTCATTGTGTAGAAATGAATTTCTAGATGGCAACACCATAAACACCAAAGATGTGATCTTCGTAAAAGTCAGGGCTACCCTGAGTGGAGAAGGGAGAGATAACAACCAGGAAGGGACAGGGTGGCTTATGGGTGCTAGCTGTGTTCTAACTTTTCGCCTTAGGTGTATTTACACATGCGTGCCAGCTTTACGATTATTTGTTAAACGGTATGTTTACATTTTTTTCACTTGTTCATACATATATATGCTGGATTTCACAATAAAAAATATTTTAAAGAGTGTTTTCGGCTGGCAGCCCTGACACACTCCCTGACACACTCCCTGTGAGTGACCGGGGACGGGGAAAGTCTCGTTCGCCATAGTGGGAACCCTCCCACCACTCCCCACTGGGACTCACAGAGTGGTCAGCTGGCTCATGTTGGTGAAGGAGGAGTTGCTTAAGGAGCTGATCTTGTTGTTACTTAGGTCCCTGGAAAAGACAAGAGCCCCCGACAGACGGTTTCATAGTAAGAACTGCCCCGACATTTGTCCTCCTTCTCTCCTTGCCTTTTCAAGTGCATCTGAGCCCCTAGGGGAGCTGCCTCATATTAGAACAAAGAAAGGTTGTCTCTCTCTTTGGCCCTCTGTCATCAGCCACCAAATCACTCCACCCACCCCCTACTCCAGCCCCTCCCCACCACACACACATTAGAACAGTCAAAACACATTTGCTACAATTGTGAGCAAAGACAGATAAACTGTCAAAATTCTGTAAGTCACCCAGCCAGCGTGGCTCAGTGGTTCAGCACCGACCTATGACCCAGGAGGTCACGTCACAGTTCAATTCCTGGTCAGGGCACATGCCTGGGTTACAGGGTCAATTCCCAGTGTGGGGTGTGCAGGAGGCAGCCGATCAATGATTCTCTCTCATCATTGATGTTTCTCCCTCTCTCTCCCTCTCCCTTCCTCTCTGAAGTCAATAAAAATATATTTTTTTAAAAAATCTGTAAGCCAGTGCTGCTCTAAGTAGTCAGTCCTTGAACCGAATATTCCATACAAGGAACTTGTGCCAAAATGTGACCTCCTAGGACAGTGATGGCGAACCTATGACACACGTGTCAGAGGTGACACGCGAACTCATTTTTTTGGTTGATTTTTCTTTGTTAAATGGCATTTAAATATATAAAATAAATATCAAAAATATAAGTCTTTGTTTTACTATGGTTGCAAATATCAAAAAATTTCTATATGTGACACGGCACCAGAGTTAAGTTAGGGTTTTTCAAAATGCTGACACGCCGAGCTCAAAAGGTTCGCCATCACTGTCCTAGGACACTAAACACAACTAACTGTAGCTAACATGTTCTTCATAGCGAGACTTCCTCAATGAAGGAAGCAAAATGTGGGTCACATTCGGTGCAAGTCCCTTATCGAGTGTGGACCTAGTACAAGCAGTCCTTGGGCTGCTGCTGGCCCACAGACCACACTTGGCGTAGCGATGCTCCAAGCCACGCTAAGATGGAGCATTCTCAGGACTTCTTTTTTGGTAGAATCTGGCCAATGAGCAGATAAAGGCAACTGAAGGGAGGTGTTAATTAGGCTGGGAGGCTAAGAAGAGCTAATTTATTCTGAGGTCTTGTTTGTTTTTTATCCTCACTTGAGGATATTTTCCCATTGATTTTTAGAGAGAATGGAAGAGAGAGGGAAAGACAGAGAGAAATATCAATGTGATAGAAACACATCGATTGGCTGCCTCCTGCACACGCCCTGACCAGGGCCTGGGCCCTGGAGAAGCCTGCAAGTGAGGTACATGCCCTTGACTGGAATCGAACCCAGGACCCTTTGGTCCACAGGCCAACGCTCTATGCACTGAGCCAAACCCTCTAGAGTAGTGGTTCTCAACCCAGAAATCAGGATTTTAAAAAGCTTCCCAGGTGATTCTAATGTGCAGCAAGGTTGAGAACCACTGCTCTAGAGCCTGAGGTTTATTTTGTATTTTTTCATGAGGTCAAAACAGAAAAGCTCATGTTAGTCTCAAGAAAAATTTAGTTACAGATACTTATTTGTAGCACCCATATTCCATATTTGGTTTGGGGGCTTAGGTTGGACTGAGAAATTTCCCATAACCCTCTACATCTGCCCTGCCTCCTGCCTTTGCAAAGCTGACCAGCATTAATAATAATTATCAGCCTAGAAGGCCGTTTGGGAAGATGGTGGGGAACAATGCAATTCCAAAGCATGACCACTAGGTGGCAGAACTGCTCTATGCACAGATGTTCCCAGAGGGAAAGGGTGAAAATTAAACAAAAACAAAAACAAAAACAAAAAACAAAAAACAGAATCAACACAAGTGGGGTCAGTGGGGAATTCCAGTAAAACTGGAGCCACAAGGGTCAGATGCTGATAGCCCTCCTGTCCTCTGGGGCAGGTCTGGGGTCCTCAAGTCGCTTGGATACTCACACAAGCTGCAGGTACTTGTAGGTGGACAGCTGTCCCGGAACCAGCGTGAACTGGTTCCCGTCCAAGTAGCTACAGGAGAAAACACAACAGTCAGTGCACCATCTCCGCCTGCCCAGGCTGGGAGAACCTCTCCCTGCAGCCAGGGCCTCCTCGCTCGCATTCTCTCCTTCTGGTAGACCACTAACGGCCCCGAATCGCTAACTGGGGGAGAAAATACATAAATCTTTTAGGCGTTTTGGGCAGGTGCCACCCAAAAAACTTGGTAAAAGCCACTGAGACATGAAGCCTCCTTTGGCTCCCTTTCCGCTCCCCTGTCTCGCCCTCTCAGCCTCCTCCCCTGTGGGCACTGCCCGTGTTCAATCCTGGGCTCCTGGCAAGCTGCCTTCTGTCCTGCCAACCTTCTGGGACCCACTCTATGCATTGCCACTCAAGTCAGAGTCCATAAAGCCACACCCATCCAAAATTCCCCTAAAACTTCCCCAAAGCGTAGAGCTTGGGATTCAAGGAGCTTCAAGCCTGCCCTCCTTCCCCCACCATCACTGCCACCAGCTATCCTTGCTAAGCAGTGACCCAAGTGCCAGCTGCTGATGCCCCAGCTGGGCTCCCTGCACAGGACCCTCACCAACTGCAGCCCTCAGGATGGCTCCAGCTTCAGGAGTAGCAACATCAGTGCTGTCCTCGCCCTGACCCATCCCTCTGTTGTCACACAAAGTGACTTCCTGCCCCCCCATCTCATTGGTTCTGCTCAGCAGCCCTTCAATACACCAAGTAGCCCCATTTTACAGCTGGGAAACTGAGACTGCGAAAAGTCAAGTGGCTTTCCCAGCATCCTTAGAGTTGCTATGAGACACCAAGGAGAAAACTGGGATTCTGACACTGCGACAGAAAACTGGGCAGGCGATGAGGTGGGCGAGTCACTGGACAAGGACTGCAGTGGTTGATGTGTGTGTGTGTGAAGAAATAGCCAGCCTTGATGATAATGGAAGAATAAAATGAAAATTTCATGCTCTCCCCATGGGGAAAAGCTTGGCTGCGGAGGCCTGGAGGGACCAATCCCAGGGGACAGGTAGAGCTGGGGGTTGACCACAGCCTTCCACTGGGAAGTGCCTGTTGAAGAAGCCGGGCCTGCCGTTCCCATCCTCGCCCACCTGAGTTCAGATACCAAACCGGACGTCCACCACACACCCAGTGCTGATGGGAAGGCAGGCGGGCCATTGCCAACACGGCTAGCGGGAGTAGGAAGGAAACAACTTTTCTGGAAGGCCGTCAAAGGCAGCGGGAGCCCTGACAATACGCCGTTCTTTGGCTAACCTCTTCCCCGAAGGGACACTCATCTCGGCGTTATTCATGACAGTAGAAAAATGGAGACAATTTAAATATCCAACAAAGAGGGATCTGCTATACAGTTCATCATAGAGTCATGTGATGGAATATTATGCAGCCAGTAAAAATCGCTTTTGTGAAAGTTTTCATTGCAGAGCAGAATGCTCATGAGATGATGTAAAGCGAAAAAAATTAATGTTATTTCTTCTTTTAAAGGCAGAGCTTAATTTAAAGGAATGAAGCGCTTGCCATGGGTGACTCACGCCATCGGGGGACTGCAGAGGGGGGTCAAAGCAAAGCTCAAAGGCTTCTGGGAACCAGTGTCGCTGCAAGGCCCTAACTCCAGGCTGCTAGTCAGCTGATATCTGCCCTGGCACCTTCTCCTACTCACAGTTCTGTGACGTTCTTGGGGATGCCCTTGGGCAGGCCCTGGAGGTGCTTGTTGCTGCATCTGACCACGGTGTCCAGGCAGGCGCATTCCTGGGGGCACTGTGGGCGGGGCAGGCAGCTCCCCTCCTCCTGGCCTGGGGAAGAAGCCACATCAGTGAGGGGCAGGCCTTCGTAGTGCCTCCTGTATCCAGGGCCCTGTGTGGGGAGCCGCAGAACAGAAGCCCCTCCCGGACCCTCCCTCAGGCGCCAGAAGTCTCCTCTTGGCTGTGCCCCTCCCCTGCCAGGGACAAAGCCCCTTGGACCTGTTGTGAGGTTAATACAGGTCTTGGATCGATCTCTTCTATCGTGGACCCAAGGCGGCCCTGGGCACAGCAGAGAAGAGGGTGGCAGCCACACGTTTTCTTGAGCACCTACTATGTGCTAGACACTATCGAACAGTCTCCTTAGCAGTGCAGTAAGGGGTGCCACTCTTACCCCTAGAATGTATGAGGACAGAGACGTATCTCTTCTTTGTTCACTGAAGGAACCTAGTACCCAGAGCGGGGCCTGGCACACAGGAGCCCTCCCAATAGATCCGTGGGATGGGTGAATTTCTCCTTGACTGAGATCTGGGGAGGTTAACAAACTTGCTCAGGTCTGGAGACCAGTTAGGAGCAAGGTGGGCTCTGTACCCATTGCATGTGCGAGACGGTGTGAACCTGTAGTCTGCAGTGGGGAGGTTAACAAACTTGCTCAGGTCTGGAGACCAGTTAGGAGCAAGGTGGGCTCCGTACCCATTGCATATGCCGGACAGAGTGAACCCGTAAGCCTGCAACACCTGGAGCAGCCAGGGGGCAGGCCTCTGGGTTAAATGTACTTATATCAAGAAAACCTACTAACATGTTAAGTGGGACTTTCTCGAGAGACGGATACTTGGTAATGTTTACTTTCTTTTTTATTATCCATATTTTCCCATTTTAAAACAATAAGCATATTATTGCTCTTATATCACACAACACCACCAGGCAGGGGTAGGGTGGGTGCAGCACTGAGAGCTGCCTCCCTGCTCCTTGCTCCTCCCCATCAACAGAGCCTCCCTCCCACCGACCTCTCCACTCAAGGGCCTGTCACAGGGCGCTGCCCGCCACTCCACTCCTCTGGCCTGGCCCAGCTCTCCCTCACCTGCCTCCCAGGGGGCGGGCAGGGCATCCGAGTTACCTTCCTCACACCTGAAGTCCGGGAAGGCCACGTCCTGCAGGGGAATCTGCCGCAGGAAGTCTGGGTTCTGGCACCTCGGGTTCCCGGTCACGATCTTCCTCTTCCGCAGCCAGTCGCCCAGCCAGGCCAGCTGGCAGTTGCAGTTGAAAGGATTGGCCAGGAGGTTTCTGGAAGAGACAGCTCGTGTGACCACGCAGACACCCGCCTGTCTCGGCTCCCCCAGCAAAGCCCTCTGCTGCCCGCCACGCACTGTTCACACAGCCACCCACACTCCCCCAGACACCCAGCCAACCACTCGCCCAGGGCAGCATTCCAGCCTGGTGAGCCCCAGATTTCAACACACCACGGGGACCACACATCCCCTGAGTTTGTCCTTGAAAGTAACCAACAGGGAGACATGCCCTGGGAGGGCAGGTGGGCGGGGTTCCCAGGTGCAGATGCTGACGCCAGAGCCCCGGCCCACGAGGACTGCGCTGAGCAGAGGGCTGGACTTACAGCGTGGAGAGGGCCTGCAGGGTGTCGAAGGCTCCGGGGGAGATGGTGGCGATCTGGTTGTCGTAAAGCGAGAGGAGGCGGACGTTGCGCAGGCCCGTGAAGCTGTCGTTGTGGATGCAGCTGATACGATTGTTCCTCAGCATCCTGGGGCGGGTGGGGGAGAGTCCACGCTGTGCCCTGTGGCCATCTGCCTGAGAGGTGCATTGGCCACCACCAGCGAGTTCACAGATTCTCCCCGGGAGGCACTGAGCCCCAGCACCTGAACCCTTCACACCTGTGCCCCCTCCAGACCCTCCGCCTCAGCAGTGCCCTCCTCTGCCTCCAGCCCATATGGCCTCACCGCAGCCCTCTCCTTCACTCCCTGGGTGCCCAGTGCCTCCCCGCTTCCAGGCCATGCTCCACCTCAACACCAGAGAGACTTTCCTCAAACCTAACCCAGTCGTGTCCCTCTTCAGCCAAAGCCCTCAGTGGCCTCCAAACTGCCCACAGAATTATGTTTAAACTAGAGGCCCGGTGCACAAAAATTTGTGCACGGGTGGGGTCCCTCAGCCCAGCCTGTGCCCTCTAGCAGCCTGGGACCCCTCGGGGGATGTCTACCTACTGGCTGAGGCCTGCTTCCCGGGGGATTGCGCCTAAGCTGGCAGTCAGACATCCCTCTGGCAGCCCGGGAGCCCTCGGGGGATGTCCATTTGCCAGCGGGGAGCAGGCCTAAGCTGCATCTGCCCGAGAGGTGCATTGGCCACCACCAGCGAGTTCACAGATTCTCCCCGGGAGGCACTGAGCCCCAGCACCTGAACCCTTCACACCTGTGCCCCCTCCAGACCCTCCGCCTCAGCAGTGCCCTCCTCTGCCTCCAGCCCATATGGCCTCACCGCAGCCCTCTCCTTCACTCCCTGGGTGCCCAGTGCCTCCCCGCTTCCAGGCCATGCTCCACCTCAACACCAGAGAGACTTTCCTCAAACCTAACCCAGTCGTGTCCCTCTTCAGCCAAAGCCCTCAGTGGCCTCCAAACTGCCCACAGAATTATGTTTAAACTAGAGGCACGGTGCACGAATTCATGCACGGGTGGGGTCCCTCAGCCTGGCTGGCGATCGAGGCCAATTGGGACTGTCTCACCCAGTCCTTATTGGAGTGATCAGGGCCTGCCAGCCAGGTGGGGAGAAGGGCCAATTGGGGCTGTTGGCTGGCGGGGAGGGACCACAGGAGGTTGGCCCGCCCCAGTAGGTTGGCTGTGGGAGTGGACATTCAGCATCTGCTCCCTGGTGGTCAGTGCGCATGATAGTGACCCGTCAACCATTTGGTCGTTTGGTCATAACAGTTGCTTAGGGTTTTATATATATATAGATGCTTTGCTCTTTAGCATGTCCAGTAGACCTCTGGAGCCTGTCCAACCTGCCTCACACCAGCACCTGCCCGCCCTCCCAGAGAGCGTAATTTGCATGTTTCTCTTTTATTATATAGGATGCTTTGCTCGTTTGCATGTCCATAGACCTCTGGAGCCTGTCCACCCAGCCCCACACCAGCACCTGCCTGCCCCCGGAGAGCAACACACTGTCCACTCCTTTGTCCTGCAGACCTGCTGCCCAGGCCTGCACCGCCCTGCCGTCCCTGGCTAGGATTTCCATCTACAATGACCTCCCTCCTCGTTTATATCTGCAAAAGTTTCTGTTCAGATAAACCTGGCTCAGTTCTCCTCCCCAAGCAAAAACGAACCCAAGCCTGACACAGAATAGGCAATTCCCAAAAGAAATTAAAATGGTTTATGAGCAGTCACAAACAGTGTTCAAACTTAATAGTAATCAAAGACATTTTCGCGATATTACATCTTCGCCTGCCAAACTACAAATAAAAACATAATAATAGTAAGTGATGCTGCCCAGGTCGGCAGGGGTGTGGGCGAACGGGCACTTTCACGCCTGGTTGGCGGAGAACGACTTTGGGACCTCCCTGGAAGGGCACTGTGTGCTCTCACCCAGCAAGTCTGCGTTCAGGAATTTCTCATAAAGGAGTAATCCTAGGTGGGCACAGAATTGCATGACAAATATATTGATCACAACATTGCTTATATTTAAACATTAGAAATAGTCTAAATTTCCAATAACATTCAAAGTGATGCTGTAAAAGACATTTTAATGAATTGTAAAGGTGCTCATGTTGTGTTTCAGAAAAAAGCGGGTTACAAAAGAAAACGTATTATGGGATCCATGATAAAGTCTGTATGTATGCATGCACGTATGTGGGTGCGTATGTGCATGTGTATGCAGGTATACACATTGTTTCTGCAGGGTGGAGGGGCTACGGCGTTTCTGCTCTGTCCCAGCGCCAGCTCTCCCCTCTCCTCTGTCCCCCCCCAAGTCTTCCTCAGAAAGGACCCCAGGGACTGCTCGGCACCCTCACTCAAGAAATACAAGGTACACAGCCTGGTAAAGTGGCCACACTCTGTTCGCAAGGGAAAAAGCAAACTGCAAAACACAGCAAATAATAAAATCCACTTTTTGTAAAATGGAAAAAAATCCCCAGGAGTCCTTCCTACACTCATGGACCTCACCCAACCTCCACGTGAGCTCAGAAACAAAGCTGGAGCCTGCTGCAGGGCCGGCTCCAAAGCCAGGCAGGGCTTCCAGACCCAGGCGGCCCAACACAGTAGCTACTCCCCACAGGTTGCTATTTAGATTTAAGTCCATTAAAAGGAAATAAAATTTTCCCTGGCTGGTTTGGCTCAGTGGCTAGAGCGTCGGCCTGCGGACTGAGGTCCTGGGTTTAATTCCAGTCAAGGGTTGCGGGCTTGATCCCCAGTGAGGGGGGCATGCAGGAGGCAGCCGATCTATGATTCTCTCTCATCACTGATGTTTCTATTTCTCTCTCCCTCTCCCTTCCTCTCTGAAATCAATAGAAAAATATACATATACATATACATAAACAGGAAATAAAATCCAAAATACCATGTACATATACATATACATATACATATACATATACAGGAAATAAAATCCAAAATAACAGGAAATGAAATTTAAAATTTAGTGCCTCAGTAGCACTAGCCACAGGTCAAGTACTCCACAGCCACTGGGGGCCATGGTGCCGGACAGTGCAGACGAGGGACATTTCCATCACAGTGGGAAGTCTGACTGGACGGCACTGTCTACTGGACACGCTAAAGGTCTGCATGACCACTGAGGAGCCGGCGCTGCCTGGGCAGGGTGGCCCACTGCACCGTTAGAGGAGGGGCAGGTGACCCGGGATCCCACTGGGTCTGATGTCTGGTTAGCTCTGGTGGGCTCTGGGCTCATGGGACCCCAGCGTCCCCAAAATGGTGGGCCGTCACTGCTTGCCCCCCTACACCCACGGGGTCTCCTCTGCAATGTCCCGCCCTGGGGCCACCAGCCTCTCCTGCCTGCCGTCGAGCCAGTGCTCCCGAATGGAACACGCGTGCTGTGTGTGCTCCTGCAGCCTGACCACAGGGCAAGGAGAGGGACCTCCAGAAGGCCCGCCTCCCTCCACCCCTTCACCAGGCACCGGCCCCGCAGCCCAGGGAACAAGAAACAGGCCTCACCACAGTCACCAACGTCTGATTACTTGGCCCACTGCAGTCAGGCTCCTCAGCTGCCCCTCCTCCTGCGAACTGGGGCCAGGGAGAGGGGGCCTCCCACCCTCTTCTCCTTTCCCTTTAATGCAGACACCCGCACTCTGGCTTTTGCCTACCGAAGTCCCTACCGCCACCACCCTCTCCCGGCCCCCACACTCACAGGGTCCTCAGGCCGTCCAGGCCGCGGAACATGCCACTGCGGATGGACTCCAGCTGGTTGGCGGTCAGGTGCAGCTCGCTCACAGAGGCAGCGCCCTCGAAGGCCCCGTCTTCGATTTCTGACACCTTGTTGTTGCTCAGATTGCTGGGAGAGGAGGTGGCGGGAGGATGACGGAGCTCAGGACCCCCTACCCCCTTCCGACACCCAATCCCTGTGCACAGGAGCCCTGCCCCCCTACCCCGCAGGAGCTCCCCCACACCCAGAATCTTCCTTCTGCATCCCCGGCCAGCGTCCTGACTGCAACCTTCCCGCCAATGGGCAACTCACATTTTCTTCAGATGGGTGAGTTTTTTAAACATGCCAGTGGCCTCCAGGATGGAGATCTCATTGTTGTTTAATCGCCTGTAAGAGGCAATCGAGGGAACTTACACACCGTAAATGACAGACATTGAAGTATCTTTCAGTGCGGGGGGCTGGGGGGCTCACAGCTCGGCGGTGGACTGGGGGATGCGCTCGGGGATCTTGGTGAGCCTCAGGCTGGAGCACTCCGCCACGCCGGCCTCACAGCGGCACTTGTGGGGACAGACCACGTCGCTGTTGCACTCGCTGTTCAGCTGATAATCCTCCGTGCCTGCGGTGAGATGGCCGGGGCCGGGTCTGAGGGCTGGGGCAGGCTCCAAGCAGGCTCGCCCACCCCCTCAGGCTGCTGCCCCAGCCTCCTGCCCACCCACGACCACCGTCCCACCCGGACGGCCCCCGGTTCCCCCACTTTCCCACCTGGAATGAAGTACTGCTCTTTGGCTGCAAAGGGAAACACCATGACGTTAGTGGGATCGTCCAGGACTTGCAAGAAAGCCCAGGCCCACTGCCCAGCCGGACGCACCCCAGGAACAAGGCTGGGGTCCCAGACCAGGGCCCACCTGCCCAGCCCCTGTGTGGAGAAGCCCTTCCTTGCCCAGGCCAATGCTGGGACAGCACCCCACCCAATTACACCTCTCAGGGAGGGCCAACGCCACGGGCACTCTCCCGTGCGCTGGCACAGATGGGGCTGGAGGGCACCAGGCCTCCAACCAGAATCCAGGCTCAGAAGCTGACCCACCCTGTCCCGGGACACAGGCTGTTTCTGCTGCCTCCGGACCTGGAGGAGGCCGCTCTCTCACTGGGAGGGTCGCAGGCCTCCGAGGGTCTTAGGCTGAAAGTGGTACGAGAGACCTGGCCTGGGGGTGGAGGACCTGGGTCCTTGTCTGGGTCCTCCCTCGGACCTCCCCTCCCCAGGCTTGGGGTAAAACAGGGGTGGGAACGAACACCATTCAGATCCACGTCCACAATTTGGGGGCCACACCCGGGACATCCTTGCTGGAGCCAAGGAAGCATCTCGGGCCCCGAGCAAACGGAAGACAGACGGGGGGCAGGCAGCTACCTGAGCACCGGAACTTCTTGCTCTTGATCTGCCCGATGCGCTTGTTGGCCAGGCGCCCGGGGCTGGCGCAGCGGGCCCCGCTCGTCTCGATGGGGTTGGTGCGCAGGAAGTCCCCCAGCCACTTGAGGTTACAGTCACAGATGAAAGGGTTCTGGGCCAGATGCCTGTGCAAAAGGGGCAGGTCAGGGGGCAGAGCTGGGGCTCAGGATCTGCGCTGACCTCCACCTGGATGAGTGAGCCCCCCCCCCCCCCCCCCCGCTGGCTCTCAGCCTGAAGTCCGGGCTGGCCCTGGGGAGACACGCACCACCTGAGGGCACCGCTTGGGGGCACCCACCACCCTCAGAGAAGTCTTGCCCAGCATCACAGAGAAGAAGGGCTCGGCAGCTCTGGGGCCCCTAGCTGTCCCTGCCACACTCCCCCGGCCAGCCCCCGTCCCGCTCCTGCTCTCACCTGGCCCTCCCTCTGCCCGGGGACATTTCACAAACAGAATGGAGGCAGGAGTGACCTGCGGCCAGGCCAGAGCACCGCAGTCCTGCCGCAGGTGAGCTGGCAGAGCAGGCACCAGGACCCAGGCTGCCTCCTCCTGGCCATTGTACAGGCCGCCCCTTGCCTGTGACCTCTAATTGCCCATTCTTGACAAGATTTCCCCGTGGTGCGCCACCTTCCTCTCCAGGCTGTAAGGAAATCAATTAGCAGGAGGGGGCTGCGGGCGGGTTCGTGGGCTTTAATGGGTTTGTCTTCGTGGCTGACATCCCAGCCGACGTGCAGAGTCCCCAGGGAGCAGGACTCCGTGCAGGTGTTATCTGAGGATAAACACTGTGGCGGGGATGGCAATGACAACAATGGCTACGACAGCATTGGTAATAAACGCCCATGAAGTGCACATCATCAGGCCCACAGGCCAGCACATCGAGTCAAACTATAGGGCCCGGGATTAAAGAAGGACACCACCTATGTGCCTAGTTTAACCAAATAGAAGATGACAAGAAACTTCCCTACCCAGAAGCATGCCAGCTGGAAATAAGGACTCGTTATAAAAGCATGACCACAACCACATTATCAAATGAAGAAGGAACAGCATGCCAGCTGGAAATAAGGACTCGTTATAAAAGCATAACCATTGTGGTTATGCATTATCAAATGAAGAAGGAACGTTAGAATTCAAACGTCTCCATTTCAGGACCCCTAATGAACGAGTGGGTCCAGGCATTCAGATCAATGGCCGTGTAAATTACAGAAAGAGAGACAACCAGACATCATGTGCCTCCTGTGCAAGTACACGGTCCTCCCTATGAAGTCACTTTGCCCAAAAAAGAAAGGGAAAAATCGGAACCTGGCCAAGCTCCTAGATGTACATTTCCATGTTCAGGACAGAGGAGTGTGTGAAACTACGCCATGGGGACTACAACCAGGGAAGTCCATACTGGGGGACACTCCACGGAACCAATAATGCAGTGTATGCAACAAACAAACTGCAAGGAGAAAGGGAGTGGAGAGGACACTTATAGATTAAAAACTGAAGTGACACATCCGCCAATACCAGCCAATTGTATTGCACAGGCCTAATTTAAATCCTGATTCCAACAAAATTGCCTTCAAAATTGTATAACATGTGTGAGACACTTGGAAATTCAGTAATGAGATATCTGATGATATCCAGGGATTAATTTTTAAATGTTCAAGATATAATAATAGTGATGTGGTTGTGTTTTTAGAGTCCTTGCCTTGTATACATTTGTGTGAAGTGACAAGTGATAGATGATAAATGATGCCTGGGAGGCAGGGAAGAGGGGAAGTGTAGATGAAAGGAGACTGGCCCTAAGTTAAGCTCGGTGGTGAGTACTGGGCGGGTCACAGTACCACCTTTAATATGCTTGTAATATTCTATAACAAAAGATGAAAACAAATTCCTAGTGCCGTTGCTCTCTAATTTTTAATCATCATTGCCATTACTAGATTTTATCTGATTTAAGACATTATCCATTGCAAGAGGTACTTTTATGTATTATCAAGAAAGAACAAAATGTCAATTAAATGATGCCATCGACATTGCAATGCACCCCAATTTCAGAGCTGTTAATGTGGAAACAATATGTGTCTTAGAATCAATGGACATTGTTATTATTATTACTATTATTATTAACTGTAGCCAGCATTTAAGAAGCATTTACAACATGCTAAGCTCTATACAAACATCCCCTTTAATCCCATAACAACCTTATGAAGATGATATCCTCATTTTATGAATAAATAAACGGAGGTCCAGAGAAGCAAATTAATTTGCCCAGAGTCACACAGCCAATATGAGGCATAGCTGGGATTTGAACCCAGGATTGTCTAACCCGGTGCCTGTGCTCTTTCCTCCCTAAGAGATGATTCTGGTGAGAAAAAGGCACAGGTCAAGACGGTTAGCTGCCTGCACCAGGAGGCTGTTGCCTCCCCCTAGGTCTACCTGCTGGGCAGAGCGGGGGAGGCAGAGGGCACTCACAGGGTCTGGATGGCCCGCAGGGAGGTGAAGGTGCCCTTGGCGAGGCTCTGGATCTTGTTGTCGTACAGGGAGAGAAGCGAGAGGTTCTGCAGGTCCTGGAAGGCGTCCGGCCGGATGCAGTTGATCTTGTTGGCGTTCAGGAGCCTGTGGGCAGACCAGGGCCAGGTGGTGAGGGGAAGGCACAGCATCAGACTCACCGACACGTCCTGGACACCTTCCTGGGCGCCGAGCAGGCACAGGGATCTGGCCGTCTGGGTGCCCACTCCACGCAGAGGCGTGGAGAACTCTGACTGCCTCCTCATTGCACGGGGACCAGCTCAGCCACCCCCTCTTCTCTCTTTCAAGGAACCGCTAGAGGTGCCCCTGACATCCCCGGAAACCAGAGAGCATTGGGGCAAAGCCACCTCCCAAAGGCCGTGGGAGGCTCCTCCCCCATCCCAGAGTTCTGTGGGGTCCCAGGCAGCTGAGAGGGGCTCTGTGCCTCTTGGGTCCTGGGAGAGAGCCCTTGCTTGAACTCTCCTGGTTCGAGGAGGCTGAGCTGGCCTGGGTGGCCCATGTGGTGGATAGCTCTCCTCAGCCATGCCGGCCTCCTTAGGACCAGCCTGCATCGCAGCAGCCTCTCGTTCAGGCCTCCCGCCATCAGTCCGAGTCGCCTCTCTGGCCTCCGCAGAGCCCCAAAGCCTCTCACAGCCCTACTACATCTGCCATCCTCCAAGCTCCTCGCCTCCAGGGAGTCCCACACCCCAAAGAGGTGGGAAAGGCCAGGCTGGGAGGCCAGAGGAATACTCCCAGGGCCCCACCCAAGCAACCATCCGATGGGTCCTTACAGGAGCTGCAGGTTGTACAGGCCGCCAAACACACCCCGGGGGAGGTCTGTGATCTTGTTCCCATAGAGGACCCTGGAGAAAAGGCAGCAGAGGGGAGAGTTAGAGGACAGCCCGCCAGGCTGGAGGTTTGTCATAACGAATTGCCAGCAGATGGCAGTAGAGTGATTAAGAAAGAGTCCCCTGTCCTTTCTAGGTGTCCCGGTTAATGATTAATCTGCATTAATCAGTAACCGGTTAACAATGCAGATTAACCAGTAACTGGTTAATAATGTGGATTAATTATTAACAGGTTAATAATTCGGATTACTAACCGGTTAGTATTGCAGATTAATCATTAACCGGTTAGTAATTCGGCTTAATTATTGACCGGTTAATAATTCGGATTTTGTGATTAAAGAAAACATGATAATTTCAAGAGAAATATCAAAAGTGCTTTATTCAAAGTAATGTCCCTCACTAGCACTTTTCTTCCACATAAAGTATTGAATTAAAACTTCCCGCAAATACTCTTTTTTTGACATGAAATTCGACTTTTTTTTTATTCGACATTTGTAAGCATAAAAATATCTATGATGTTTAACACCTTCAGAAAATTTGACACATGAAGTTCTGAAGCTTGTTGTCAATACAACAAAATAGCATACATATCAAAGCGCATACATATCAACATATGTGTAACCCCATCAATTGAAAAAAATCCGCATCATTAACCAGTACACCTAGTAGTTTGCATACAAGTACGCTAAGGGCTCGAGGTGGCTGTCACCCCATTACTGCAGGCACAGCCCTCCCTCCGTCCACACATGGGCCCCACAGAAACCTGCAAAAGGACCCTTCAGGGAGCCTCGTGGGAAATCAACCTGCTCTGGGACCCAAAAGAGACCGTTCAGGGAGAAATCTCATGGCGGGAGTAGTTAGCGTGTGAGCTCCCGCAGGTCAAGCAAGTCTGTGGTCAGACAAAGCACCGGGAAGAAACAGACCACGGTGCTGGCTGTGCCGAGATCCGGGCGGCGGGACTGCAGCGGGTTTCTGTACTTGGGTATGTTCAGTTCTCTGCACTGAGCGAGAATCCGTGTAATTCGAAAAAAAGCAGAGACTCAAAAATGCTGTGCAGGCCGGAACGGGCTCAGGCAGACCAAGAGGAAGGAAGGGGGTTGGGGAGTGGGGTCTATTTTATTCCCAACATCACAAGCAGCACCCCCCTCCCCACACACGTTCCCTTTGAGCAAAGACAGTGTGCTGCCTCTTCACACATGACTTCCAGATCATTCCCGGAGGAGGGCCGGTAGGAGCAAAGGCCCCGCGGTGGGGGCGGGCTGGCGCTGGGGGAGCCCCAGCGTGGCTTGAGTGGAGGGACAGAAGCTTGGATGTCGCCCATCCAGCACCAGGCAGCCTCTGAGACATGATCAGGTTCCCATCTGCAAAGACCCCCCAATCTGCTGTGTGGAGAAGGGAGTGGAGGGGGCAGGAGTGGGTGCAGGGAGTTAAGAACAGAAGCCCACTTAGATGTGTCACCGACACGTCCAACTTAGAAGGAGATCCATTCGCTCCTCAGAGAAAGAGGCCTGCATTGTGGCAGCCCCTCCAGGACCTGATCTCTGCCACCGACAGTGGCCCACGCCCAGCAGCCACGTACTGCTGTGTGGTCGTACACTGCACGTCCTAAGCAGCGCCATTCACAGGAAAAGGGTGCACACGAAAGGCACTCAGCAACGGGGGCTGCATCCCCCTCCACTTCCCAGGACCCTCATCTACGTGAGGCATGTGTCCATGCTGCCAGGGGGCAGTGAAAACACCATTCCTAAGAGGAACACAAGGCCCCGGCCAGGGAGCTCGCCTGCCTACAGGCACCCTGAGCGCACTCTCTGCATAGACAACATGCTGTGGGACCTCAGAGAGTGAGGGGCTTGGTGAACATGGGGGGGCGGGCGGACAAGCAGGGGTTCTTGGAAAAAGTGAGAGGAAGTAACATTCCTGAGTGAATTTTTTTTGGTGTTGCTAAATTTAATTTTTCCGAGATAAAATTTTGATGCTGCATGATGCTTTGTAGATTTACAGACCCCACCCCCCACCCCAGTAAACCCTTGAGAAAGGGAAATGCTGGAGAGAGGTGGAGGAAAATGCTTCCTTCGCATCCTCACCACAACTTGGGATCAGAGCATGCTGGGGATGGAAGACACAGGTGTGGCAGATGTCACAGCTGGAGCGGTGGGTGCTCCATTGTAGGTGACCTGGGGAAGGCTCAGGAGCATGGAGTGCTGGGCTTCTGTGGGGAGGCAGGGCCAACAGGAAAGCTGGGCCCAGTCCAATGACTGCCACAAAGCATGCTGGGAAAATCCCCACTGTGGTGGGGAGAGCATCACAGTTGCCAGGGCAACAGCTCTGCCTGATTTTCCATGCACTCAGTCCTGGATTCCCGCATCCCCTCCCAGCTGCAGAGGGTCCACCAGTGAGGAAGGGGATGCTGGGCATAGCGACCCTGGACTTTGCAGCCAAAGGGAAACCCGTTGAGGCCGGGAGGGTGGGGGCTGTGCTCTCTCTCCAGCACCCACTGGAGGGGCTCCAGGCCCTGCTGGCCTCCTTGGGAGACACCCTGGACCCTGGCAGGTGCTGCTACTCACAGTGAGTTCAGGGAGCGGAGGCCCTGGAAGGCATCAGGTGCGATCTCTGCGATCTGGTTGTTGCTCAGGTCTCTGCAGTGAGAGAGAGAGAGGGTGGCTGAATCCCTCAGCGGCCACCAAGCCGTGCCTGGTCCCCTGCCCCTCCCAGATGCCACGGGAGGGCAGGGGCTGCTTTGAAATTAGAAAAGTGAGGGGCCCTTTCTCCCCTCCATCAGGAAAACCCACGGCCCTATCCCCCTGTGCGGTCCCAGGGTCCTGGCGGATGGGACACTCCAGCCTTGGTCTGTTTTGACAGCTTTCCCCCACCTCCCAGCTTCCCCAACATCCCCTCTTATGTCCATGGCGGCTCCCATTGGTGCCCAAGCTGAAATGGAAGGATGATAGTCTGGCCATATGCCAGACTCGGGCTCAACATTTAGGCCTCAGGACAACCCTGCAAGGAGGTCACACCACTGCCGGCCCAGGTCACAGAGGAACCACCTCAGGGGCAGGACCGCCAGGCAGCAGCTTGCCCAGAGGCAGAGGCAGGGCCTGCCCGGGCTGTGGCCGGCCAGGCCCGGGGTCTCCCTTCCGCCCCTGCTGACTCTCAGGAAGCAGGGGGAGGCACTCACATCCTCCGCAGCTTTCTGTAGGGAGAGAAGGCTCCCGGGGGAATGGACTTGATTCCGTTGAGCTCCAGGCGGCTGCGGGTAGAGAACACAGAGGGGGCCCCCAGTCAGGTCGCCCCAGTCTGGGCTGCTGCCTGCTGGGCTCACCCACCCAACCATGCCCTCTGTCCCCCTGTCCTGCTCCCAACCTCTGTCTGGAGTCGGCGGGCTGGCACAGGCAGATGTGAGCTCCGTTATCCCACGCTGCCATGGCTGAAAGGGGCCCACAAATGATGCTAATTCTAAGAAACCAGTCCTAGCAGACACCCAGCTGGGTTGGACAGATCGACCACAGAGGAACACCCACTCCCAGCCCGCCAGCGTTGCCCAGCCTGGGCAGATAGCTCGGCCAGCCAAAGCACTGACTTCTCCATTTGCACGGAAGGACCTTGAAACAAGCCTTTGGGTGGCATCCACTCCAGCTCTTCTCTGGACCACCAGAGCCTGGCCCAGCCCCAGAGCCTGTGCCCCGTGCCTGTCCTGCCCTGTACTCACATCTCCGTCATGGTCTCGGGCAGGTTGGCAGGGATGGCGGTGAGGCCTTTGCCACGGCAGTCCACAATGCCGTTGCTGCAGGAGCACATGGCCGGGCAGGAGCCGGAGGAGAGGGTGCAAGAGGGCACGTGCCCTGCCTCCCCCTGGCCTGCGGAAACAGTGGGCTGTGACCTCGGGGTGTCCCGTGTCAGCACCTCCCTCCTGAGATACAGACTGATGAGTAGGGACGGGGCACATGGTGTTTCTCTGGATGAGGACGAACCCGAGATCACCAAGAACTCCCGTGTAGCCCTGCGGGCACCTGGCACACAGAGGACCTTGTTAGATGTTTGCTGAACTTGAATCTCGACCTGACTGTGCTGCGCGGAAGTGGGATTCAGGTGCCAGGAAACCCTAGCCTGAATTCTGAAGCCACAGGTTCTCGTCCAAGTCACTCAGCTCAACCTTGGAGGAGCATGGTATTATTGTGCCCATTTTACAGGTGAGAAGACAGAGTCCTCAATATTAATTAATTTGTGGAAACTCACACAGCTGATAGATGCTGAAACTAGGATGAAGCCCAGTGTCTGATAAATCACTGTAATTGAAGTATAAGTTATATACAGGGTACTGTCTTAAGTGTATAGCTGATTTCTACTTATGAATATACCCCCCCACCCCCAGACATGTAACATTTCTATCACCCACAAAGGCTCATCTACCCTTTCCCCAAGGCAACCATTGTTCTGAGACCCAGCACTAAAGATTTCTTCTGCATTTGTGGACTTCACATAATGAAATCAGACAGCAGGTTCTCGTGTCTGGCTTCTTTGGCTCCGTATAAAATCTTTGGCATTGTGTCTGTATCAGTAGGTGTTTTTTTTTTACTATGACTAGAATTCTATTGCATAGATGAGTTATAAATAGTTAATCCACTCTTGTTGGTGGACGTGTGCGCTGTCTCCAACTCTGAGCTGCTGTGAAGAAAGCTGCCTTGGATATTCTTGGACACGCATGTTGGCAGAGCATATGCACACACCTAGCAGGAGCTGCAGGGTCACGGGTAGACATATGCTGGGCCTTCGTAGATTCTGCTGAACAGTTGTGCGAAGCTGCTGAGCCGATTTACACGCCCACCAGCGTTTTAACCTCTAACCTTTGCTTGGCCTGAATATAGAAACCAAGGTATTCAAATGCAAAGAAAAAGGTCTCACTTAAAAATAACTGTCCCAGTGAAGTGTCCACTCCTCTTCCTAAAACCTGGGGCAGCTGCAATTACTCAGAGGGGCGCATCAGCCTGACGCTCCTCACACATGAGTGCATACCCAGGTGTGCACACACGTACACACGCTCACACACTCATACTCCTGTACGCACACTCATAATCACAGTCATCGTCACACACTCACATGCTCACACACACACAAACTCACACATACAGTCATACACTCTCTCCACATGCACCCTCACATTCACACACACATATGTATATGTGTGTATATATATTGATTTCAGAGAGGTAGGGAGAGGGAGAGAGAGATAGAAACATCAATGGTGAGAAAGAATCATTGATCAGCTGCCTCCTGCACGCTCCCTACCGGGAATCAAGCCCAGAACCCGGGCATGTGTCCTGACTGGGAATCTAACCATGACCTCCTGGTTCATAGGTTGACACTCAACCACTGAGCCACACTCATACTCTTGTACACACACTCACACACACACTCACACACACACTCACACACACACACACACACACTCAGCAGCCCTCAGCTCGGCATGCTCAGGAGCAGCCTCGGTGCTGCCAGTGCTGTGGGGGAGGGGAGCCTCACATGGAAGAGAGGCTGCCGGGCCCAGTAGACACTCCTCCCTCAGCGCTCTAAGCGGCTGGCAGGCTCACTCACTGGTTTGGGAGAATGGGCAGCCCCTCATCCTCTGTTGTGAATCTGAACCATTCATTCGCTCAGCAAACCTTTCTTGAGCATCTCTCTGTGCCAAGCACAGGCCAAGTGCTGGGGAGACGGTCAGAAACCACGACCGCATAGTCCATGTGCCTGGGGCCAGGGAACAAGGCAGGAGGGGGTGCCAACAGGTCCGGCCTGCGAGAAGGCTGGGGTGGGAGGCACCTGCTCCGGGAAGGGCCCAGGCGGACCCCGCTGGGACACACTGAGTGACAAGGCCAAAGGGCGGCCGGGGGAGGCTGAGGTGACCCTGCCCCGGCCTTGCAGAGCCTGGGGACAGTTTGGACTCTCCCAGGGGGCTGGTGAGTACCAGGCAGCAGTGACCTGCCCAGACCTGTGGGTCCTTTCAGGTCCTCTGGCTGCATATGGAGATGGAAGGTGCTAGAAAGGAAATGGGTGGGCAAGCAGGAGGCTCTCACAGCCAAGGCTAGATGGGCCAATTCAATGACTTTTCAGACAAGGCCGTCACAGGAGGGAAGGGTGGCAATAGGAGGAGGCAAGGGGTGGGAGGGGAGGGGAGGGGTGAGGGACAGGAGGTCGGACAGAGAGGGACAATGTGGGAGGAGGCGATGGGCGGAAGGAAGAGAAGATGGCTGTGGCAGGAGGGACAAAGGAGAGAAGGCAAGAGGTGATATGTGGAGACAAAGGCTTTGGGTGAGAACAGGAGATAATGGATGGACAGCAGGGGGAGATGGGTGGACACAGGAGGTGACAGATAAAGACAGAATGTGATAGGTAAAGAAAGGAGGTGATGCCTGGAGACAGGTGGTGGATGGGAACAGAAGACGGGTGGAGACAGGAGATGGTGGGTGGTCTAGAAGGCGATGGAGGAGGACAGGAGGTGATGAATGTGCCAGATGTCAATGTGTGGTGGAGACAGGAAGTAATGGGGGAACGTTAGGGGGAGGCTGCAGGAGGCAGGTGATGGGCAGTCGAGATGGACAGTCGAGAGCCCCAGCGGGCCTGCACCCACCTGAGCAGCTGAACTCGCTCTTCTGGACCTCGGCCACGTTGAGGCCACGCAGGCCGGCGGGGCCTGAGCACTGGGTGAAGAGCCCGATGGTTGGCCGCTGCCTCAGCCATTGCGAGAGCCAGGCCAGGTGGCAGTCGCAGAACAGGTGGTTGGAGTGCAGGCGGCTGCAGGGAGACAGGGATGTTCACAACCCACCTGGGGCCCCCAGACCCCGGCCAAAGAGTGGGAGCCCCTCTACCCAGGAGGGGCCGAACCCCCTATTGCACTTGACCCAAGCACAGTCCATGCGCAGTCAGCCCACAGCTCCAACCTGGGGACTGTCGGCAGCAGCAGGAAACTCCCAGCCGCTGCCCCTTCCCTCCCAGCATGCTCGGGCCCCCGCCCCCCCGGACTGCATTTTGCCCGGCTCATGTCAATTCACCTCCCTGAACTCATACAGACCCACTGACCCAAGTCACATAGCTCATTTTCAAGCACAAAAAGAAATCATTGGTTTTCCAAGGAAAAATCAAATATAAATGACAATCTCCCTTCATTTCAGATGACCTCCCCTGACCCCACCCTGGCTGGGCGCTGGGGGTGCAAGAAGGAGCCCGCTCCCCTGCCTGTGGAAGCCTGCGCCCCGCTCCCCACTGCCCGGACACCACCAGCTCGGGGCTGTCCTCCGGGCCACCCGGCTGACTCACAAGGTCCGCAGCTTGGGCATGTGGTTGAAGCTGGACACGGGGATGGTGGTGATGTTGTTGTTGTTCAGGGTCCTGGTGGGGAAACCAGAGTCTGTTAGCGTCTGTCCAGCAGAAGCTCACGTGGGAGGGAGAGCAGGGCTTCTCTCTGACAAACAGGCAGACCCTCACACTGTTCCCCGGTCCACCCTCAAGCTGGGCCAGCTCTGGGCTGGACCTGGGGTGGGGGGGAGAGAGGGGAGAGGGCAGGGGGCCTATGCCAAAGAGCATGACACACAGCCACCACCAGGGAAAGCCCTGAGCTGCCTGATCAGGAGGCAGCTGTGCCGCAGCCTCGAGGCTGGTGGGACGGGAGAGGGACAGGCGCAGGCGTGGGCTGGCTTAAAGAAGGGGCAGGGTCTACACAGCCACGTGTCAGAAGCTCCTGGGAGACACAGCTATGGCCCTGGTGTCATCATAAGCAGGATAAGCCTTGGCCATGCTCCTGCGGGCACGATGACTTCGCGAGCATGCGTCCTGGAGGGCCTGCCACGCCTCCCAAGTCTCCTGCCTCTGTGCTCTCCGAGGCCCCCACGCCCGCTGCCTGGGCCCCGGCACCTGCACCAGCCGGACCGAGCCTCTCTTCCCTCCCGTGTGTTACTTACAGCACCTCCAGCCCCCGAAGAGCCCGGAAGGCGCCTTCCTCGATGCAGCTGATCTGGTTCTTGTCCAGCTGTCTGTGAAGCAAAGGGAGGGTGTGCAGAGGACGGCACGTCGCTGAGAGCAGCGTCCACACATCCTCACCAAGCGCTCCATTCCATTTTCTTTTAAAAAGGCCTGACCCCATCCCTTGTTCAGAACAAATGTGTCCATCCAAATAGTAAATAGTAAGAACTTAAAGTATTCCTTGTTTTTTAGTTAAAACAATAAATGTAAATAAAAGTTTTATTCGACGCCTCTTCCTAACCTTGCCTCTCTCCTGGGGAGCAGGCACCCACCCCATTGTGGAGACCACCTAAAAGGTGCTGGCAGCTGAGGAATGAGTCTGTCACAGCAGCCATGGCAGCCAGAGCCGGGGGCAGATCCCAGCCCCAGTGCCCAGGGGGGCTGACGAGCTGTGGCTACCTGGAGCGCTGCTCTCAGAATACACTGACGCCTGGACCGGGCTCTTTGGGAAAGAACTCGGTGATCAATTACCAATGTCTGCTACAGGCACGGGAGGGGGCAAGGGGACTATCGGGAGTGACAAGCATGCCAGGCATTTGCCACGTCTAGTTTGAACCTCAGAATAAGCCCGTGAAGTAAGTGTGATATCCTCATTTCACAAAACAGTATGTTGGGGCTCAGTGAGCTAACTGACTTGCAGCAGCTTATGCAATAAGTGCCTGAAAGAGGAGATTCAAGCCCAGCTCTCCCAATCTCCCGAAGGGCAAGGGCACGGAGACTGTCCGTTCAAAGGGACCCAGAACATCACCCTGGCAGCCCACAGCCCTCCAAGACGGCCCGTTTCCTCCCACTCCAGATGGTTCCAGAAAACCATGCGGGCACTGCCACCTCAGCCCAGAGACCAGCTCCGTGGCTGCCTGAACTCCAGGGCTCCGGGAGACCCAGGAGAATACTGCCAGGGGAGGCCCTGTGGCCCCAGGCCCCCTCCACCCCAGGCCTGTACTCACAAGTTTTTGAGGTCTGTGGCTCCGCGGAAAGCCTTCCTGGGGATAGCCTGGATGGCGTTCTCACTCAGGTCCCTGTGAGGGTCGAGCCAGAGGAAGAAACACACTGGTCAGAGAGGCCTCTCCAGGGAGGGGAGGGCGCCAGACAGTGGGACCAGTCACAGCGGCATCCCAGCCTGGGACAGTGCCTGACACACAAAAGCTCCTCCCTGGTAAGCATTTGAATGAATGAATGAGCTGGAGCTCGGTGCCCAGCCACCTCCCATTCTCTGGGCAGAGGGGTTGCAACTGGAGGGAGAAGCTTGGGGCATGGGTGACCAGCTCTGCCAGACCCCAACCTGCCTCCCCCATTCCACTCACAGAGGTCAGCTCAGGCCCTGTGGCACCCTCCAGGGATGCAAAGGCAATGGCAAAGGGGCATGGGTGACCAGCTCTGCCAGACCCCAACCTGCCGCCCCCCTCCACTCACAGAGGTCAGCTCAGCCCCTGTGGCATCCTCCAGGGATGCAAAGGTGAAGGCAGAGAGACGGGCTTCTCGAGGGGCCCACGGCCACCCCGGGATCTGTGGAGAGTGCACTGAAGGCTCACTTTCTGTAAGAAAGCACCTGTGGCCCCCAGGGAACCCACCAGTAGGTGGCCCCCAGGTCTTGAACTCCAGGCTGTGTCGACGCCAGATCCCTCACTCTCAGGACTGCAGGCAGCAGAGCCACCACACAGACCTGGGCCCACAGGGGGACTGGAGCACGCTGGCCTCGGGGCTGCAGTGCCACGTCCCTGCCCTGTGCTCGGAGGGCAGGGTCACTGAGGATTTCATCACCTCCCCCTTAAAATCCTGATGTGAGGGAGGAGGCACGGCAAATCTCCGGCCTGTGCGAGCCTAGGCCAGCTCTGGACCCTTCCCCCAGCTCCTCTGGCCAGACTGGGCCGCTGGCACCGTCCTCCTGTTTCTCCATCCCTCTCTCGACCTCTTCACTGCAGGCCTTTACAAATGCCCCTTCCCTTCCCACAGCAGTGGAACGAACTGCCATCGTGTTCTGAGCATGTCCCCCCGAGCCGTCCTGCCCAGCACTTCACATGTGTGAGTGCACCTGACCGTCACACTGACCGTGGGAGAAGGCTATCCCCATCCCCCTTCCACAAAGAAAGAGGAAAGGGAGGCTCAGAGAAGTTAAGCAGCTTCTTTAAGGACACACAGCTGGCAGGTGGTGGCTTCAGAAGGTGAGCCCAGGAAGTCAGGTCCCGAGCTCCCCTTGCACAGCAGGCCTGGAGTGGGAAGCATCTCCCACTTTGCAGAGGAGGGAACCTAAATATTTTACCCAAGGTTGACCAGGATGGGGACCCAGGCAGGCTGCAGAGAGCCCTGCATCAGACCCCGAAGCCAGGGCTGACTGTCCTGACATGGGACTCAATGTCAGGCAGCCCCCAGGCCCCCTGACCCTTCTCCTGGGCCAGGCCCTCAGGCCTTGACCATCTCCTTCCCATCACCATTCACCACATGAGCCTCAGGCTCCACTGTGAGGCCTGGGAACATGGCTCCCCTGCCACTGTCCCCTGAGCTATTGGGGCTTCCATCCTTCTGTCTGGGTTTTTCTGCTGAGACAACAAAACAGAAACTCCACAGCAGAGTGCACATGGCCCTGAGCCCAGGAAGGCCGGCTGGAGTCCTTGGCCCCCCAGCTCCTAGCTATGCGTCTATAGCAATGGTTCTCAACCTGTGGGTCGCGACCCCTTTGGGGGTCGAACGACCCTTTCACAGGGGTTGCCTAAGACCATCGGAAAACACATATATAATTACATATTGTTTTTGTGATTAATCACTATGCTTTAATTATGTTCAATTTGTAACAATGAAAATACATCCCGCACATCAGATATTTACATGACGATTCATAACAGTAGCAAAATTACAGTTATGAAGTAGCAACGAAAATAATTTTATGGTTGGGGGTCACCACAACATGAGGAACTGTATTAAAGGGTCGCGGCATGAGGAAGGTTGAGAACCACTGCACTAGAGTCATACGTGGGGCGCTTTGCTGGCACAGAAAGGAGGCGCACAAGGGACAGAGGAAGAGCTTTCTAAGTGACAAGAGAAAAATGTTTAAAAAATAACTTTTATCTACCTAACTATAAAAGTCATACGTGCTCAACAACAACACCGACAAAGAATCATTATTTCATACATGGACAGGACCCCTAACTAGCATCGGGTCACTAGACTTCCGTCCTTCTTCCTACAAATGCATCCATGCACCCATATCACAAATACGGCCCAACTCTTTTAGTTCAAACTACTTTACAGAAAGAAAAGGACTTTGAATCCACTATTTATGGTTAACAAATGCTACCTTTTGTTGCCTGTCTGCCAAGGGACAGGCCAGGGAGTAAAGGGAAAAAAAAAAAGAGAGAGAAAAGGAAGTACTTTTATACCCTGTTGTTAAAAGTCAGTCTCTGAGCGGGAGAGAGAGGCCCTCGCTGTCTCTCTGAGGCTCACTTGGCTGACGACAAGGGGTGGGAATCTGAGCTGATGCCACAGCGAGTCCCTCTGAAGGGCCTCTGGGTGCTGTTTTGCCTCAGAAAACTCCGCCTGTCGGGGGCCTGGTAACCGTCAAAGCGTGTGCTCAGCACGCTCTGTGGGTCTCTGCTCCCTGAAGGCCCCCACAAAAGCCCGGGTGTTCTGAGCGAGGGAGTTTGGAGCTGAGGGGAGCCGGTTGGGCACCACAGGAGAACCAGCTCTGTGGCTTTGGCTGCGTGCAGCCCCGCTGGCTGCCCTGTCTCGGAGCTGTCTGAGCAGGCAGCTTGGTGCCCAGGAGTCCCCAGCTCCTGGTGACCTCAGCCCCCCCCCCCCCCCCCCCTTCTTGGTAGCAAATTGGCTAGTCCCACACAAGCAAAGAAACAGAAGGCTTGCCAGCAGTGTGGGCGAGTCCTCATGGGAGTAGATTCTCCAGCCTCAGCAAGCTTGCAGATGATGCTGCCTGCTGCGGACTCGATGCCTGTGTCCCCGCCCCCAAATTCAGGTGTTGAAATCCTAACGCCCAATGTGACGGTATTAGGAAGTGGGGGCTTTAGGAGGTGCTCAGGTCATGAAGGTCGAGTCCTCTGTGAATGGGGTTAGTGTTCTCATAAAAGAGTTCTGAGAGAGCTCCTCTGCCCCTCCCGCCACGTGAGGACCCAGCCAGGAAGCGAACCCTCACCAAACACTATTTGTTGGCCCCCGGATCCTGGACTTCCCGTCTTCTAGGACTGTGATAAGCTGCCCAATTTATGGAACTCTTATTACAGCAGCCCAAACACACTAAGACACAGCCCCAACCCACATCATGACTGCAATCTCATGAAAGACCCCAAGCCAGAACCACCCAGCCACCTACAGAAACTGTGAGACAATCAATGTTTATCGTTCTTTTGGGCCACTCTATTTTGAGGTACTTGGCTACACAATAGCCATGACCAAAACAGGGGTGCTTTGTGGAAATGACTCGGGAGAGGGGCTTAGAAGCTGTGCTGGCGAGCGTGGTCCTGACCTGAGGCATGAAGATCACCTGCGAGCTTTCGAGGAGAGCAGGACAATGCTTAGTCTTGGCATGAAGGAGCTGAAACATGTGAGGGATGTGGCTCCATCACTTCCCTCTTTGGGCCTCAGTTTCCTCATTTGTCAAATGCACAGGCTGGACCAGATCATCTCTTAGTCTCCTCACCGGTGTATGCCCACCACATGCCAACTACTCCAAGACATGGCAACTGAGGCCCTTAGGGCATCTGAGATCCCAGGGTGAGGGTGAGGGAAGGGGGCCTGCTGCTGACTGTATGACTTCTGAGAGGAGTGGGATGAGAGAGAACAGACACAGCCACCCTCCTGCTCCTCCCCACAGGGAACAGAGCACATGTGGTGAGGGCAAGACAAAGGCAGGAAGGGCAGTGGCCAAGAGACGTCTACAGACCAAGGAAGATGGAGGCTGCACTGGGGTGGAAACCTCCAGCGGGACCCTCGCCTTGGCCCCAGCTGGCAGCTAGCCCTTCGACCAAGCCTGGGAGGGAACTCTGGGCTGCACTCACATCCATTATTCCATTTAATCCTCACCACAACCCTGCGAGGAAGGTTTTCTATTTGTATCGATTAGTTTATTGATTTAGGCCAACCGTGTTCCAGAAAGGCTTTGAGGTGGCTTATAGGGATTTATAAAACAGCAAGAGAGCAGGAGTGAAAAGTGGGACAAAGAGAAGAAGGAAAATCAATGGTAGATGCCAAGAATGCAGCACCAGGTGGCCCACGCACCAGCCAGCTCCAGGTGGGGCATGGGCACGAGGCTTTCTGAGAGCCCATGCATAGAGGGGACACTGGTCAGTTGGTAGCACCCTCAATATATGTATAAATTTGAAAGGACCAGTTTCAAAGGATAGCTATTTGGGGCACTTAAGATGAGAAGAGAATTTCCCCAGGGGTCTTCATTAAAAGTGACAATGTGGCCTAATCAATAATGTTAGATCCTTATAATAAATGGATTTCAAGTGTCTGCTTCTTATAATAGCAGCGCGTCAAAGTACAGCCTAGCAAAAGCAATTCTATAAAAACTCACACCAGGAGCTAAGTGGAAAGGGAGGGGCAGGAGCAGTCTGGGCAAAGGCAAGAGACATGGTGGTAGACTCGGGCATGGTCTAGAGCAGCTGGGTTTGCCAGGAGAGGCAGGGCACAGGGCTATGGGGCAGACAGAGGCTCAGAAGGAAGTCCCAGGCAGGATAGTGCTGGGGATAGGCGTTAGCAGGCAAAAGCCTTGCAAGCCAGAGAAAATGACAGGTTAGAGCAGAGATGGGTGTATCCGATGGTTTTTTAGACATTGCTCTGGGGCACCAAAGTTTACAGGGGAAAGACGCTGCCCCTGTGTATACAGCAATACACCAAGAGCCAGTGCAAGAGGTGAGGGTCCAGGGGTGGGAGCAGAGCTGAGCTGACCTGGGGACCTCAGGCCCAACCCCAGGCGAGGCCACAGCAGTGAGCAGCTCACATTGCTTAAATGAGTAAAGGAAACTGAGGAAAACAGGGGCGCCTTGGAGATCTGAGAAAAATGCAGCCTGCT